AACATAATAAATAATATATTAAAATTTTAAATAAAATTATTATGTACATTTTTATGTAATAATAAATTTAAGATGTGCAATACTTTTGTCCATGTAATGTATATCAGTGAAGCTCTCCGGCACAACCCAGACAATCATGATTCTCCATCTGATAGATATGACATAATTATTTACAGAAAGAGGGGACAACCTTACAATTAAACAACTCCATTCTACGTCTTCGATGAAAACTAAACAAATCCTCTTAAATTTTTCAAAGATTAACAATTCTTTGCTAACTGTTCCCTTTCGAGAAAATTTATTTGAGAAAGAATCATCGAGAATTTTATTTTTTCGTCAAAACAAGATATAGCATACTGTATATAAAATATCGCAAAATTGGTAACAATAAAAAAATATTCATTACACCTAGCAAGCAGGAAGTTATCAGATGTACAGAAAAAATAGCTAAGTTATTAGGAACAGATAAGCAAAATATAGAGGTAAGAGAAAAAACGAAGAAAGATATTTTATGGCTGTCAACGCCGTTTCACTTCAATCAAAGACTACTCCAAGATAACTGTTCCATATCTTCAAATGTATGGTATACATCAGGTTCAACGTTTTGCCAACCGCAACTCTTTTTCTCTGGACTCTCACCCCTTAACAATTCCCTCGTATTTCCATTTGCAGTCAGAAAATCCGCAGGTGTCGGGCTTGACGTAATTTCCACAAAGAGGGCATTTACATTTGTGTTCATCCTTTATCCAATCAAAGTTTTTATAACCCATTGAATAAGGACTCAGGATTCGTTGTAGGCTTTGCAATTCTTGTCTTTTTTACAATATCCTAAGAAAAGTAATGTTAATAAGTCGTTCATTTTGTTTAATTTCATTACTGTATTTACCTTCAAGATTGAGACCCCCAGTTGCTACTCTCCAAGAAGGAGCTTCTTTATTAAATTTTAATTTCATTCCTCCTGCGGAAAGATCCGAAAAGTTAAAACTAAAGGAACTCATCGCAGCGCCCATCATAGCGACAGCATAGTTTTCATTAGGGTCAAGCGTTGTTAGAAATAGATTGTTACAATTTCAAAAGGCAGATACCATATATTTATATAGTAAAAATAGACTATAAATGGTCTCTGATATCATAAGCTAAGCCAAACTTTTTTTTTTATATTATTACACGTATATACCGAATGACAAATTAAATTTTAATATATTTTTATTACATACTTTTAATATGTTTTATTTGAATTTTTTTTTTAGATTGCTAATCGATGATGCAACTAAACTAACCCGTCTGTTCATTATTTTAAAGACTGAAAATTTATATATACGTGTATAATAAGGAACATGTGCCACCTGCGCTACAGCTAGATCGATCAAATTTGTTGACATGTAAAATGAAATAATAATGATAACTTTGTTTAGTTAAGACTTCTGCGTATATAGGGATATATAAAAAGTTAAGAGTTTACAGTACATATTTTTTTCGTCAAAAACATGTGATTTAATTATTGAATGTTTACTAATACAAAGATTATAATTCGGATTATTTAAGATATCTTTGATATAAATTTGCTAAAAATATGTTTAGTATACTGTATAATCGTAATTAAAGAAAACTTAATATAAGTTAGAGAATTTAAAAAACTCATGAGTCAATTTTTGAGTTGACTTGGGCTGAGCGACTTCAAGACTGAGTTGGAATTGATGGATTGAGTCTTCGAATATTATCACGTGATAAAACAATCGTGGATTTCAGAGATTTCTAAAATCCCAAGAATCCTTATTTTTGTTATCCCGATATTTCAAGAATAATCAAATTAATGAGAATTCTATAAAAAATAGAAATAGTTAGAATAATCTTTTTACATTGACATACAGTGCCCCCCAATAAATGAAGGACCACTTAAAAATTATTAAAATTAATCGGAAATAGTTTCTATATTTCA